ACTCGAAATTTGGGCTGTTCGGCAACATCCATAGATTACATTTCACGTAATAGGGAAGCACGTATATACGAAAACTTTAAAAAGTGATTATTTTCCAACGTATTTTTATTTTTCCTGCTATACTTACTCGGTGGTTTTGTATAAACAGTCATTCACTACAAGTACAACTGAAGTTAACATAGTACGCCTGATTTCCACTTTTTCGGAATTTTCCACTCTGCTAAAAAAGCTTGTATTTCTATTAAACTTTTTATTCCTTCATTAATTACAGCATGCCCTATTGTGAAGAACGACCATTAGTTTATTTTTGTAAGATTTTCGGGGTCGCAGCTTCCGTTGCGTTTGAGTAACAGGCAGTTACTTGTAAAAATCCATGTATTTCATGATTTAGTGAACTACTGTAGATGACAGTTGATATAAGGAAACGTTTCCACGTGAAAGCAACAATTTCCGACGAGAAGTTCTCAAGTTATTTCTTTTACGCCTTTAATTTTCCTCGAAAAATTCCGAATTTTCGTTTTATAAAAGTCTCATTGATTTTATATGTAAAATCACGCATAAATTACTTCAAAAATTAAGCAGAAATTTTTATAGTTGCGAAAATTTCCAGTTTAAAAAATGAAAGGGCAAGGATAAGTTGGCTTTCGACACATTCTTCTTAGACGAAAGCACGCGTATTCTGGCAAAATTATTTTCTCAACAGGACTTTTGCAGTTTTTGAAGAATTTTACAGAATTGTGAAAAAATTGTGGACTCAAATCGATTTCATTTCACTGAAAATTTCGCGTAGAAAAATTTGCTTTGGAAGCAAGTGACTCAAATGCTGATGTCCTTGAATTTGTTTGAGAACACTATATAGTTGAGCCAACGAAAACATGAATCTTTGCAGAGTGCGTCGATTTAATTGATTACCTCTTTCGAAATGAAGGCAGTTCGCAACCTTTGCAATCGCATCCCTAAATCAGTGGGCTCGTGCCCGTAGAATTGCATGCGATGTACACTTAGCGAAGCCTGGAATAGAGGTCAACAAACAAGCCCTTCCATTGGCCAATAATGTCTAAGCATTACCGATTTTTTTTGGTGTGCTTAGAATACTCCCTGATGACGGTCTGGCTTGCCAGAGTCGAAAATTTACAAAAACGTTTGTTAACGTTTCCCAACGTAACTTATAGGTTTTGTTTCCCGAGAGCCCCACCCTCACAAACTTAGTAATGTGGTGAGCACCGATATAAACATTAACCAATGTATTACCGGCAAACGTTGGAAATGCAGAATACGCGTATTTCTAGCTTATTAGCTTTCGTCAGCTGCACAGAATCTGCCGCTACACTCGAGTTTCGAACCCGCGACCAGTGAGCTAGTGACGAACATCCTATCCACTGAGCCAACGGGTCGACGATGATATAAATATTATTCAGCAAAATCCGCAATAACGTCTGCAAATAGAGAATTTCCCCTTCATTGGTTCGCGAAAACCTATCGTTGAAATTTCGTCTATGCAACTAGTCAAGAGAATGAACCTCAATGCACAACGGGACGAGAATTTGCCCTAACAGGAGTGGTGCCTGCCCCTCTAGAAATGGTGTGGAAGTCTGCATGCCCAGGTCCACCACGCTGCCTCATGCTCTCTTTCCCAGCCAAGTCTTTGTGTACTCGCAAGTGACACGCTCCCCCGTACTGTATTTTTCGATCGCTGCGAGAGGTCCGTGATGTTCTGCCTGTCGTACGCTTTCCCCGACGACTCGCTTCCTGAGGCGCACGTTACTTTAAGCCAATCGATGCCCTCCGTTCTACCTGATTGGCTGCGGAGGCCACAAGGGAGATTTCGCAGTCAGGGCTTCGCATCAGCGCACACTTCTGCACGGACTCAACTGGCCTCTGCAGGCAGCAGTTGAAATCACTTGCCAGCGCTTAGTTTAAAGCTCTTTTCGCGTAGTAAAGCTCTTTCTATCAACTCTGTCTTACCCGACTCTTGATCTGAGGGACCTTATCTTGTTGACACTACTACCTGTTTCCGCTACGCATGTCTCTTATGACGGATCCGCGACGGATATCGAAACGTCAGGCGAAAAAACATATTGTCCCAGCGATCGAGTCTTCTTCTTCCCTCTACCACTTACGACAATGGCACTGTAGTGGGCCGTTGCCTGCTCGATGTCTGGCCTTCCTGTCGTGACCTAAATCTGTCCAGACCTAAAGGTCGTTGCGGCCGCCAGACTTACTGGCGCACGGGATATGGACCACACACAGGCTGTCCACCCACACGTTGTCCAACCAATCACAGGCCGACCTAGCCAATTAACGCTCTCGCTCTCTCTGTCTACTGGCCTGACTGCTCTTAAACTGGCACTTGGGACGCGGTCAATCTTCTGACTATGAAAATATCTAATTACTTTAGATATAAATTGCGGCGGTGAGGCCATTGCTAGATGCTTTTACGACTTTTGTAAAACAAAAATTTAGAGCTATTCAATTGCAGCAACTGTCACCCGTCGATTTCATTTCCTACCACAACTGCATTTCTGTTCATTTCGGTCATAAAATCTTTGACATAAGCAGGACCAGTAAAATACCTGACAGCCCAAAACTCGATGACTCCATTCACAAATGTTACTATGCATGACAACGCCCTTCTTGCGCAAACCAACTGCGTTCGGTCTGTTAATCATGCTTATATGCAGCCGAATATTTTTGTGCTTTTTAAGGAAAGACGCTCTTTGGGAATCAAGGTAAGTTTATTTAGTGAATTGTCGACGCTGGACCCCCAGGTCGTTGTCAGACTTGGGAAGAGACGCAACGGACAATTAGAATTTTAAATGTGCTAAAAAATCAGTAGTCGTTTTGTGTGAGTTCTTATTGTCACCTGTCATTTGTGTCCGTCTGCAGCGATCGGCGCTCGTCTCTTTAATCTTCCTTTGAGATGTTTGTACATTCAGTACAACTCGGTTTGTCGCTTGATGCATGAACTACCTGAAAGTGTTGCCTTCGTCAGAACTACCTCGGAGAAATCGATGCTTTCTCTGGATGTCATTGTTTAGAAGAGGAGGAGGTGGAGAGTTAGGCTGGTTAAAATTTATTTCTGGGGACTCCTGGTACCTAACGTGTACTCAGTGGCCAGTTTGTCGCCCGCCTCTGAATCTTCTTCAGGATGATATATGTTTGTGAAAGTACAAGGTCTCCATGCCTCCATAGCGAGTTGTGGTCGCGGCCGAACGAAACTTCCACATATTTCGAAGAAGCTGTCTTTATTCAAACCCCATAAAGACTCGCCTAATCAGTTGCAATACAGATCTGTTTGACTTCACCACCCTCGTGGAGTTCAGTGTTGGTTTGAGTGAAGAACTAATCCACACACTCGAGTCCTTCTGACTGTCAACTTGTTGTAGCGGTGTAACGTTTAAGCGGTAAATCCTAAGGTTAACGGCTTTGAAGACCCGCTTCCGCTACTACTTTCTGCTCATGTCTCTGTTCAAGAATCCGCGACGGATGTCGAAAGGTCAAGCGCATACAAGCGTTGTCCCAGCAATCGACTGTTCTTATTCTTCTCAAAGACGCACTTAATAACGCCGAAGGGCATATGCAAATTCCTTGACCATTACTTGAGCCTGATCGAGTTCGTTTGTAGATTATATTCGTCTGCCATATTTTGAACAACTTTCTACAATTTATGTTGTCAGTGTACAGGGTAACCTCAGAGTAAAGGGCTCTAACACAGTCAGTGCTGAAAAGAAGGAAATAAATGGAACTTAACACTGAGCACTGTGAGACATCACTCACAACGATAACCTCTGAGGACTACCCATA